CCTCTATGGACACCAGTTTCAGCTCATCACAGACCATTAACCTTTGTTAGGCATCCTGGCAGGGGACAAGCCCAGCCCACAAATCCTATCCCCAAGAATGACCCGATGGACAGTCTTCCTAGCCGCTTACAGTTATAAGTTGACTTACAGGCCTGGCAAAGATGTAGCTCATGCTGATACCCTAAGGAGGTGCCCTTTACCCCTTTTGGTCACTGATCCTGCCCCTTCAGCCTCAGTGTTCCTACCAGAAGATCTGCAATTGCCTCTTACAGCTGATGACATCGCCTATGCCTCCAGAGATGTACAACTATCTAAAGTCATGGACTGGGTGCAAAGGGGGTGGCCCAGGGAAACCACCACAGTGGACTTCCACCCCTTCAAGGTGGGCCAGAAAGAACTGAGCATGCTAAAAGGATGTTTACTGTGGGGTGTCTGGGTGATTATTCCGAAACTGCTAAGTCCTTGCATTATTGAAATTCTTAATGAGGGTCACCCGTTGGAGTACCCCTACAGGTCCAGTCTAGAGGGAGGCTGAGACCACGGACACTGAGTGGGGCAACACCAAAGCCCCTCGAAGGCTGACTCCTGACCAGCGGTCTCTCACAGAGGCCTTACCTGGGGAAGCTGCAACATCAACAACTGGAGCCCGCTCACCGCCATCTGAAGAGGTCCCATCAACACCCGAGGTCCTTCTGTGGCCATCCAAGATCGCCAGGGAAGGGGGGCAACACCACCCCAAGTAGAAGTCACCACTCCAGCAACAGATCCTTCCCCACTGCTGCCAACTGCTGAACAACGGCGATCTGGGTGAGTGAAGCATTGCCCCACCTATCTGGACAACTATGCATGTGCAGTTCCAGGGGGAAGGAGTGTTGCAACCAGCAAGTCGTTACTCTGTTCCGCTGTTTAAGTGGGAGCTGGAGAAGGTTCTGATTGGCTGAGCCATTTGACAGCTCCGTATAAAAGGAGCTGTCAAATGGAATCAGCTGTCTCTCTCTCTCTCAGCTGCTGCCGCAAGCTGCAGCTAGCCACGGCTGAGTTACAAGTTAACAATAAAGCCAGTTAAGCTTTATGTTGCCTCTGCCTCTTCTTCTCAGCATGCCAAACACAAAAACAACAACATTCCAAGCTCAGTCTGTTTTTTTAAAATATGCCTCATTTTCTTCAGTGTGCCTGATGACTGGGTCTCAAAAGGGCCTTCACATCTTTAATATACAAGTATTTCAAAGCATACAAATCAAGTGGTCATTATTTTACTTTAAAGAAGTGTATATTCTGTTTTACAAACCATTAGATGACATTCTCCATTTGAAGATGTGGGTTTGATTGACCATCTGTTTTACATACAAATGACCACCAATGTTACAGACTGACTAGGCATAAAACCTTCTCCAACATAATAAATTATATTGTTTAACCTCAGTTTTTACTGAAATTATTATAATTATGCATACTTTTTCTCTACACGTATCAATTAGCATCAGAAAATTTTAGATAACTCTCAACAGTCTCATTTGCTTTCTCTTGATGCTGCTTTTTCATTTTTCTGATAAAATATCAGTGGTTACTTTAAACACACCCAAGCAGCACAATGGCACAGGCTCCAGTGGCACAGTATTACATTCATCTGCATTCAGGGTAGTTTGTCCTTTCACAGATGTGAAAGGTTCATGTTGAATTCTTCATAACAGAACATAAAAAGATTTGCTTACAGTATATTTGCTGTTGTTTTAAGCGGTGAAAATCTTAAGGGTAACAAGGAAATGTTCATAATAAAATCAACAATGTGAAAACAGTATTCCATACATGTGAGAAAGTTTTAGAAAGTCAGCTTGACGTACTGGTTAAAGGAGACTATGAATTCTAGTCTTGCCTTAGGCTAAAACCAGCTGGTGATTTTGGGCCAGTCAATCTTTTCCTCAGTCACAGGAATATGGCAATGGGCAATCCGTTCGGGAAAAAATATTGCCAAGAAAACTCCAAGACTTGTCCAGGCAATAAGCCAAGAGTCAAGATTGACTCGAAGGAAGACACACACATACACATGCACACATTTACTCAGCCATGAGATTATGGATATGAGTGGTGCAGTGGCCTAGAGGTGGAGCTCTTGCCTCACAATCAGGAGGCTGTCAGTTTGACAGAGGCAGATATTTCTCTCTCTGGGCACACTGAAAATATGTCTGCTGAAAAAATGCCCTCCGCATTGGCAACAGGAAGAGCATCCAGCCAATAAACACTCAGCTCCATTCAGTTTCCCAGATTCCAGCCCACAAAGGATTATGGGATCATTAAAAGAGGATGATGATGCTATTATGCATGTCTGCTAGGGGGCATAGGAAGGAAAAGGCAAGGTAGGCAACTGCATTTTGACACAAATACGGTGAGTTATGTATCTCTCTCATATGTTGGTGTGCAAGTACCTGGTTTGTGACATTGCTGAGTACCTGTCATGTATGTCTTATTCAATTTTCTGCATGACATTAGACCTGTCAACCATGTGGATGTTTGATATGAGGGTACATTTGATTTAATGTATGTGAATTCTCTGCAATATCATTTTTTTTAAAAAAATGAAGCTGTTATTATTGCGGAGTTATATGAGGAAGGAACCATTAACAGAAGCAACCTCACTACTTTTCATATCTCTAGTCTCTCTGACTTTATTATATAAAATGATCTTGGGAGATTAGAGACTCATCAGGCATGCATTATTTTTGTAAAGTCAGTTTCACTTAGGAAAAAGTCAATCTTGTGTTTATTTTTAGCCTGCCAAATCAGATGAGATTGAAATATTGCTTTACCAGGTTCAAAGAACTGGAAAAGATTGCACATTGATGCAGATCTGCTTTTTTTTTTTTTAAGCATAATGTGGCAGTCTGAATCATTAAGATTACCTTTTATCTCGTTTGCACATTGACGCTCAACAATTTTAGATCTCATTCTGTGCCACCATATTGCAGGTTTTACTGAATATATTAAATCAACAGAGTGTCTAATCCAACACAACTGTCCTTGTGGCCAAGATAGTAAACAAGATTTTAAGATGCCAGCTTTCATTCCAGTCATCCCAATCACAGTTTTGACCTTAAAATTGTCCTTTTCATTGTCTTAATTTATGCTAATATAATTCCTATCTGGTCAGATTACAGCTTAGTCTGTTTATTAATAACATGTCCTTTGGTTACTATATTCTTCTTAGTTGGCTTATATCTGTATTTCAAAAGATCACCACAACAGTTAACTCTTACCAATGAACATATTTGATTTTCTCAAACTTTGCTAAGTCAAATAAGACTGATTTAAAAAAAAAGGTAATATAAAATCCTAGTTGGAACTCTATGTGTTATCAAAAATAGAATATTTATGAATGGCTTTTTGGTGAACTGAAACAAACAAGCATTGAGATGAATTTTCATGAAGTATATAGAAAAACCTTACAATAAATTCACTTTATTTTTCTACATCAATGTTGAATTCAGTCTGGAAGGAGGCAGGTTGTGTGAAATTCCCTTTGTCTGTATATTACTCATTATTGTTACTACAGCCCATTCAATGAGCTTCTTTTTTTGGATCCAACTACTGTCCCTTCCAAGAGAAGGAAAGAGAGAGAGAGAATCAGACAATCAAGAGGAAGGATTTTTTTTCTTCTCTTTCTGACACCACAGTTGGTCAATTATTTGAGGCAGCTGCCTGGGGGGAAGCAGTGAGGATATAAAGTACAACTCAATTCCCTTTTTTGTGTGTCTACACATCATATTTCTCCAGAGGATGAGTGTTACTTATATGATGGTAATCTGTGTGGCATCTAGGACTTTTCTAAGTCTTTGGGCAAATGCCAAATTCAATCTACACAGATGCCAGTTGGATTAGGGAAGATTGTCATCTGCTCCTAAAATTCTGATTGGATCCGTTCAAAAACTTGTTAAAACTAATTTGTGAGGCATTTTGAAACTAACATTATTTGATGTCATGGAATTTAATGATACTTTTCAGATATATACTCAAAATGTACGATATATACCAGAATACTTTTTAATCTGGTTTTAATCTGGTCTTTACTGGAAGACAATTGGCCATGGATATCTTGTTTTCTGACTTTCTGCAGAAAATGGCCTTTTTGAGTCTATGGATCCTGCTAATCTGTTGGCAGTTTGTGACACTATCAACACCAGTATATTCCAGGATTGCAGTTGTAAATTAAAGGTTGGAGGAAGTATGTTTTGGTAGTTCCACTTCTATAAGCTGGTTTGACCCTATACTGGTGACCATTATTTTGTCTCTAGAGCTTTTTAACTTTCTCTACTTTATATAAAGCCAGTGTGGGTGGTTAACAGAAATTGTGAGTGTATTATCATTTCATATATCAATATTAGGTACACCTCCGACATATTTAAGAATACCATGTAAGGAAGAATCAAAATTCAAAAAAGAAAAAGGATTTGGATAAGGGATGTGGAACAAGGACAAAAGTTACAATGTTAAACCAGATGACTTTATAACAAAGATTTCACTTTTTGTATTTGAAAGAAAAATGTATAATCTAATGGTAAAAACATAACCACCATATCTGCATTTCTCATTAAAAGACTTTTCACATCTATCTTTCTAGCAGAATAATCACATTATACTTTCCATTATAGAACAGGAGGAAGGAAATAAACTTGAGCACTAGAATAGAGATGAAAGTTGATGTCAATGGAGCAAGAGAAAAATAAAAGATACCCCCAAAATGAAAGATTTGGGTTTTTTTTTCCAGATGTAATCTTGTAATGGAAAGTTATTTGCTAAAATTGCCTGCCATACTGGAAAAAGGAATTACATACTTAATCTAATAAAATAGGTTGATCCAGTACTTGGTGGAGCTTTGGTTCCATAATAAAACTGGACTACAAGTTCCAATATCTCTTATTTTAGTTTACATTAGTTGGCACCTCTGATCCTTCAAGAAGTAACCACATTTTTCAAAAAGAAAAAGAAAAAACCCTATATTTACCGACCTGTACTTTCCTTCACCCAGTATTCTCTTAGAACTACTTTGCTGATTTCCTTTATCTGTTCTTCAGATAATTGCTTATTAATATCAGGAATGATTTTCATTATTTTATAGACAGTCTCGTGTTCTTCTTCAGTTCTTAGAATAGGTCTGCAGGAAAAACATGCATAGAAAATAATAGCCCCTGTTGTTCTATAGTTGCATAGATCAAAGAATTTGCCCAGTACCTGAAAAACTTTAAACCAGGTATCAAGAATTTGTGTCGATTACTAAAGCCACAATACTTAGCTGCACCAGCTAAGTGAAGGATACTAAAAATAAAAATTCAGCAACTTAAGGAGAACTAGATATCCTCATCTTGTTTTCTAGGAGTTAGTAAGGAATACAAATATCTGTGTGAATCAGAGGTGGTATTCAGCAGGTTCTGACCAGTTCTGGAGAACCGGTAACAGAAATTTTGAGTAGTTCAGAGAACTGGCAAATCCCACTTCTGACTGGAGATTTTACAGTATCCTTCCCCTGCCATGCCCACCAAGCCACGCCCACAGAGCCAGTAGTAAAAAAAAATTGAATCCCACCACTGGTGTGAATATTAGGAGAACTGATTTTCACAAGTTGATTTGAGTGGGCCCAATGTTCAGTTGGGGCATTCTAATTTAATAGACTGGTTTGATGGGAGAATTAATTGGTAACTAGAGTTTTTATTATTATTTACATCTTTCTACAATGGGTTCTACAAAGGTTAACTATTCTGACATCTAAGAAATACCATTGCTGTCATGTCTGAGAGCAAAGTGCTATTAAAACTTTATTTTATTCCTTATTTCTCCTATCATAGGACTTGAGTATTTTAATCCAAGACTTTCACTGTGCTCAAATTGTAACCTGCTTTAGAAGAATATCAGTAATGGCAGTTGTAGTTGTCCTAGTAACAGTAACATATAAAGTAAATATACCATTTTTTTCTAAATGATTCAGTAATTGTAATAATAATCTATTATGTCAGGCAGAGAGGGAAATGAGAGATGGGGAGGGGGTTCCTCTTTAAAAATTGCAATTCCCCTATTGCACAATTTTATTATACCATGTCAAGTAATTTAGGTTGAACTCTGTCATTCAGGTATGCAATCCCCCCCTTTAAGTAATTTTAATAAGTACAATTTAAAGCATTGCAGATGATTTCAGCTGCTACTGAAAATCAGTCTAGAAATGCATATATTTATCCTTCAACTCATCCTCAAGCTACCTCAACCACTGGATTCCCAAGTGTGATTTTATGTGGCTGAATACCAACCTTGAATACCACTGGGTGATCGTGAGTAGGAAAATAGATGGTCAAAAAGTCACACACCATTTTTTTCCAATCCATTCTTATCACCAAACCAAAATCCCCCTTCACTCTTTTCTTAAATGAAAAAAGCTGGTTTGTGCCTGATAAAATGTCACACCAGTATGTGGCACCTCTCTCTGACGAAGAGAGAAATTGCACCGAAGGAACAATGGAATTCATAATTTACTGTATGTATGTATGCTTAAAGATACAACACATTAAGCCTCTTTTGAAACAATATCATTTAGTAATCAATATGGATGCCAGCAGCCAGGAATACTCAGCCTTCTCACATGCTTATGTTATGGACTACATATCTAGTTGAAGAGAGGTCAGAAGAGCAAAGATTCAGTTGCTAGTAAAAATCTTCCATTTCATCTAAAAAACCTTGCTTCAAACAGAGTAATATCAAAATGAGAAAAGAAGCATAGCATAGCAATTTAATGTTCCAAATTATAGTATTTAGGGCTTTAAACTGGACATTTCTCTGGGAATTCAAAGGAACAGTTTGTGCAGTCCACATTTGCCAAAAAAAAAGCAGCTTTTGCCACACTTAATTTAAGATTTTGAAAAGCCACAATGCTTTGCAATTATAGGATATGCCACACAAACATGGTCTCCACATCACCTGAGGTTCTGAATGCCAGAGGCTAAACTGGTATTCATATTTACAGATGCAATAACTAAAGTGGTGAGAAATGTTAGTTACAATAATAGAACTTCAACTATAGAGTCCTTTTGCCATTCAACAGTAGTTCCAGAGAATTCAGTTCACTCAAATCTCCCCCTAACTGAAGTGGGATATAATTACATGTCTCTGTCAGAATGGAGGATATGTGACCAGTATATAGGTCAGTGTTTCTCAACCTTGACTGCTTGAACATCTGTGGACTTCAAATCCTATAATTCCCTAGCCATCATCAATGAACATCTTCAAGTTGAGAAATACTAATATTGATTTCAGAATTATTGTTGTAAACTCTCTGTAGTGAACTGGAACTACTATATATTAGCAACAAACAATGATCGTTACCTCCATCATTGCAGTTATCACTTTCACTTGTTGTTTTTTTTTGTTATTGTTGTTGACTGATATCTAAAAGATATCTTTCTTTTCTTGCATCCATTAGGCTGAAAGGGAAATTATTAATGCTAAGAGACAGCAGGTAACCAGACACTCCACCCAGCTGCCACCACCTGGTTGTAATCTATTGAAAAAAAAATGAGTTTGGTTCTTTACAATCCTACTTTAATACTTAAATCATAAACAGGCTTAGGAAGGAAAGAAGCTGCAGATAAGCTGCTCTTAGATTTAGTTGCTTATCTACCTAGGGGATTGTGGCAATACAGATATGGAAGGTATATTTTGAGGATTAGTAATTCTGGAGCACTAAGGGATTTGGTATCTAGAGCAGTTTTTCTGAAGCTCCACAACTTTAAGATGGATGAAGTGTTTTTTCCAGTAGGACCAGTCTGTCAGGGCAACCTGGTCTACCCAATTATGGGTCGCAGCATACTGTTTCCATTTGTTTGTCAGTAAAACATAAATTTAACACAAAATAGTTTGTTGCAAAAGTAACTGCCTGTGAAGGCTCCTGGATTAGGGCTGAAAGACGAAAACAGAAGCAATATGCTCTATCCCATAATAAGATAGACCAGACTACCCTGATAGACCAGTCCCACCAGAAAAAATACTTACTCTCTCGCCTGGTATGGCCAACAAAGAGAGAAGAGCCAGTGGCTTAGAGGTTAATATATCTACCTAATATGTAAGTAGCCCAGGTTTGAATCCCAGAAGGATACAGCTAGCTGATGAGAGCTAAATAACTTGAAATTGATCTATACTAGTCTCCCTTTATGTTTTTGTCAGTAAAACATAAATTTAAGATGGGGCCTTCAGTTCCCAGAATTCTGCTTGAGGAATTGTGGGAATTGAAGTCCATACCTCTTAAAGTTGCTGAGGTTGAGAAACACTGCTTTAGAGTATCCTACTGTTATATAGGCTTTAATGCCATATATTGGTCCAGACTGATTCCAGCTGACCCAGATTTTCAGAGATAATTCAGCCCAAACCAAAATTACCTAGGAAGATTTTAACTCCTTGTTAGGGATACACCCTAGCAGAATCTGCATGGCAGTCAGGCAGGCAGGCAAAATATGTGAGATAAACGTTTTTGTAGCTTACACTCAGTAAAACAGATACACAGTGCTAATTAAATAGTTTTATTCCAATAAGAATTATAGCATAGTCAAACAGTCCATATATCATTCACTAGTTCAGTCCGTCCAGGGATTATTCAGTTGCAAATTCCAGTGTCGAAAAAGAGAGGTCAGTAAACTTACAAATATCAGTCCAGTAATATATCTCCTTGCAGTAGAGATATGAAGAACTCAAAAAACTCCTCTCTTCCTTCAGCAACTCAGCAGTAGGGGAAACACGCAGTTAACAAACCATCAATCCATGCAATCCAGTAATTGTCAGCAATCAATCAGGTTCTCTTGCTCCCTCTTATGGTGGTTTCACACCACACCCAAAATTACATGCTTTGCAGTTTTAAAGTGACACACACTTAAACTTACAATCATAGTTTATATATATTATTTTACCCAAACTACGTTAGGTAACCTATGTTATTCCTAACACTCCTTCAGCAAAACCACTGAAGAGTTAATCTCAGAAAGGGCATCCTAATTTGCTCAAATGCCCTAATCTTCTTGAAATATAGCAATCTGTTCAGATATAGATATATCAAATATAGCAATTAGATGGCAAAAATCTAATCTTCTGGTGTTTTATCTTCAGATAAACAGCAGGATGTTGTTAATTACTGAACTGTCGACAAAAGTGTGGAACAGCAAAGAAGTCATATACAAAATAGCATCTAAACAAGGAATTTGGCCAATTAATGATCCTATGAAAGCCTTGTCTTAATATTTGGAAGCTGTGGAGCAGGGGTCACCAACCTTTTGAACCTCAAGGATCACCAAACTCAAAATTTTAAATCCGGTGGACCACTAAAACGAATTTTGACTGACAGTGGCTTAATGACATTGGTAGGAAAGTCAGTCTATTCCAGAGCTGCAGTAGTCACAAGACTGGCCCTTTGGTGATCCCAGAGCAGCTCCTCCAGTCCATGGCAGGCTGGTGCACCCAGGTACAGCAGCAGCTGCTCCCACCAACATCAGCAAGCCCCCCAGGATGGATTTTCCCCCCACACCATTGGTCTTACCTTCCAGTTCCAGCTCTACTCAAGGTAAGATTTGCACTTGGCTGAAGGGTGAGGGCCAGTGGGTGGGCAGGCCATGTGGGTGGTGCAACTTTGTGTTCCTGCACAGCCTGGATTAATTGCTTGGGGGAGTGCTTTGTGGGGCATTACTCTGTGGACCACCAAAATTTTCTTGTGGACCACCAATGGTCCCTGGCCCACTGGTTGGTGACCACTGTTGTAGAGGCTGGATTAAGGACAACAGGCTTCAGATGAACATCAGCAAAACTGAGTGTCCTTGGGTTTTGTGGCTTCCAGATTTGGGGATTTACCATCTTTGCTGCTGGATAAGGTTGAACTGTCCCAAATAGACCTCGTGCACAATCTGCGGTCTTTTTGGACTCACAACTCCTGCTCAAAGACCAGGGGACAATCATGGCCTAGAAAACTTTTGCATAAGTTGCATGGCAGTTGCATTTCTCCTGGACTGGGAAGCTCTTCATTACCCAGAGTTACATCTGTGAGATGGATAATTACATATTATGAACAATAATCTCATGGATTATTGGTATTTATGTTTAATACTTTATTTGGTATATGAACAGATAGTGACC